TCCCCCTACCGATAGACGACCGTCCAAAACGACAAGCCCCTCCACTCCTGCTGCCTCAAATTCGTCACCGATCTCGCTGAGGCGTTATAATCTCATGGTGTTCCATGCACCAGAGTCGAAAGATGAAAACCCTCAGAAACGTTATGATCACGATGTTGAGTTACTTCAGGGGCTCGTTGATAAACTGTTGGATGTGGGTGAAGGCAGCGGAACGATTAAACAAGTAGTCCGACTTGGTCAGCATACTAACCAATCATGTCGACCTTTAAGAATCATCTTTGCTGACCACAACACGCCACAACTCATTCTGTCTCGTCTCTCCAGGCTTAAAGGCACCAGGGTTCACATCCGCCGAGACTTGGAACCCGAAGAGAGGAACCGCTTGAAGACTGCGGTCCTTGAGCTTAAACGCCGTACAGAAGAAGGCGAAACTGATCTACACATCGTAAATTTTCGAGTGATCAAGAAGGGTGCACGAACCCGTATCAGTCGGTTGATCAACCTTCAGGCACGTCCCGCGGTGCCTCTCAGGACCTCCGTGCTGCATTCACAAACATCTGTAGCCTTATGAACAAACGGGATGAGCTGTGTCGCTTCTTTGTCTCTGAGCGACCAGACGTCGTAGGACTGGCGGAGACATGACTAACTCCTGAGGTAACGGCAGAGGAAGTCGATCTCAGTGGCTACTCTTGCTTTCTCTGCGATAGAATATCAAATCCTCGTGGTGGTGTCTTACTTTATATACGGTCTTCCCTGCGTGGGAGGCTTGTAAGCATGTACCGAAGTGGAGATGGACTGTGTGAACAGGTATGGTGCTCGATCAACCTCAGGCGCGGCAAGCTGACAGTAGGTGCATTCTACCGTAGCCCTCTGAACCGCTCTTTAGATTGGCTACCACATCTTCGGAACAACATGAGTCGTCCATGTTTTCTACTCATGGGTGACTTCAATTGTCCCCACATTCAAGAGCCTGAAATCCAACTCATGCCCGGGTATTCTGAAGTCGAATCAAAGTTTGTTGATTTGTTGCTTGAAACTGGGGCATCGCAACACATATGCCAACCTACGCGCATGACGTCGCGTTCGAACCCATCGTGCCTTGATTTGATAGTGACGAATTGCGAACAGCGGGTGCATGACATACGAATCCAGGAGCCCCTAGCTAAAAGCGACCATTCCGTGCTGATAGCCACTATGGAACTGAACTTGCCGAGTGTATCTCCGGTGGAACCAGCTTACAACTGCTGGAAAACTGATTTCGATGGATTAAATCGAGCAGCGAGCCAAATGGATTGGTCTCTACCGCAAGTTACATCTGTGGAGGACGGTTGGACAGTAATAAAGGAAGGATTGGCTTCGCTTTGTTCTCAGTTTGTGCCGTTGAAATTTCAGAAAGTCGGACCAATGAAACCACACTGGTTCGACAAGGAATATGGTAGGCTGGCTCGGTTACGACGAAGAATGTGGGACGCATTTCGCCTCTCTGGCTCCGCCACTGATTACGAAGCATATAAAAGACAGCGAAATATTTGCAACAAAGTGAAATTGATAAAGCGCCGGAAGTTTGAAGAAAAGCTTGCAACTGACGCGAGGATGACTCCAAAGAAGATCTTTGCTTACGTGAAACGCCGTTTGAAGCCAAAAGATGACGTGTCATGTCTGGAAGACGCGGACGGACACCTGCTAACTTCCAGTTCCGATCGCGCGTCCGCACTGGCCGCTCACTTCGCTTCCGTCTTTGCAAACGACGCGGCGTTCATACCCATCTCAGCGAGTAACGTTTCTGTAGAACTCAACAGTTTGGTTTGTGATGTCGACGAGGTGCGCCCGCTACTTGCGAACCTTGACGGTACCAAGTCTGCAGGGCCTGACGGGCTTCATCCGCTAATTATCAAAGCACTAGCTGCCATTATCTCGTCTGCTGTTACAGATCTATTCAACAAATCATTGTCTGAGGGCTCATTGCCAAACGACTGGAAGCGCTCGGTGGTGAGGCCGATCCCGAAAGGTGGCGACCCCAGTAAGGTGGATAACTACAGGCCAATTTGTCTTACACCCGTTTTGGCCAAAGTGATCGAGAAGATAGTAAAAAAGCGGTTAATACATCTGTTGCAATCAAAGGAACTTCTGACACAGACACAACACGGATTCAGGATTGGATATTCTTGTGTTACCAACTTACTTGTGACGAGACAGGAATGGTTGTAAGCACTGAACCGGGGAAAGTGCGTCGACGTAATCTACATCGACTTTAGCAAAGCATTCGACAAAATTAATCATGAAGTGCTTCTAGACAGATTAAGGTCGTGTGGTGTCGGAGGATCGGTACATCAATGGATCCATGAATTTCTCGTTGGAAGAAAGTGGAGGGTACAGGTGGACGGCCATCTAACCGATTGGTATCCCTCGACCAGTGGTGTACCTCAAGGTACGGTACTTGGACCCACTCTGTTTCTCATCCACATCAACGAGCTGCCCCAGCTTCTACGGTCGCCGTGTGCACTGTTTGCGGATGACCACAAAATTTGGCGAGAAATTGATACTCTCGATGACTGTGACATTCTCCAACAAGACCTCGACCGCCTCACAGTATGGTTTACTGAAGTCCACCTACCGGTCAACCCGGCAAAGTCCCTATTCATGAATCTCGGGAAGGCTGTTCACGACCGAACGTACACCCTAGACGGCCAACCACTGCATCCCACACCTTCCGTGAAAGACCTAGGTGTACTCTCACGCTGCGACTTGAAGTCCGTCGACAACACCAACAAACTGTATCGAAACGGACTGCGCATGCTCTGGGCGCTGAAGCGCAGCTTCTGCACTTGGTCTGAGGACGTCGCCACTCGCCTCTTCTCTTCCATCGTCAGACCAATGCTTGAGTACGGCTCGCCTGCATACTGTCCGGTCACTCGCGGCGAAGCGCAAAAGATCGAACGAGTACAACACGTCGCCACCAAGTTGATCCCCAGCTTGAGAGGCTTATCGTATGAAAACGGGTGCATGAAACTTGGGCTCTACACCTTGTCGTATCGCCGTGTTCGAGTGGATCTTACCATGACCTACCGTATTTTACATCTCGGTCATTTCCCTATGCTGAGGTCGTTACTCCACTTGCGAGTACCATGCACCACACGTGGGCACAGGTACAAACTCGTGGTACCTGATCTGAAGAGAATCCCACACCCCCTGTGCTTCGAGCGGAGGGTTGTGCACGCCTGGAACAGTCTGCCAGAACACGTCGTCAAGGCCGAATCTGTGCAGAAATTCAAATCTTTGTTGGATTTACACTTCGCCAACATACGTTTCAGAGAACGGTTGCCACTTGACAACGATATCACCCACTTGTGATTCACTGTGTGAACAAGCATTTTGTGTGCTACAGAAGGAGTTGCTGAACCATCTCAGGATAACCACCGGACGTGGTTATTTATTTTTTTAAATGTTTTTGATTATCACCCGATGGAGTTGCACAGAATTATTTTCTACTTGCTCCAAAATACAGGATTCAGTACACGACGTCGAACACGCTTATTGCTCAAGCGTTCCCACCAGACATGGACTAAACTGAGAAGTCACCGGTGGTAGAACGCATAGTAGATAGTACTGCCTGATGATAATTTCGTTACAGGAATCCAGTGCCATAGTTTCCTATCCATGATCGTAAGTGGCTGATCCTGGCGATCAAAATGTCCCAAATCAAATTGCTAGGTTTGACAGCAAAGGCAAGATGCAAAGCAAACAGAGCCACTTCAGCTGGTTGCGATGATGGACCCAGCAACTGATGAGAAACGCATTCAAACTGTTCCAATCCAAAACAACAACAAGTGCATCGGCAAGCAATACCGGTTTGGCTCAGTAAAAGAGTGAGATGATCGTGGTATTCTGCTCACTGAACGTCGGGTCGATGACTCTCGTTCCCTACAACCCACAAATGGAATATAACATCGCACGAGTCATAAGCTCAGTTCATTTGCTGTAAAGCACGAGCACCGCAGCATGAATCTGAGAGCAGAGCATAACTCTTGTGCACTTGTTTGCTACAACCAGCATCAAGTTAGTTGATTTGACACGCCGCAAAGGCATTATTGATGAAAATTAGTGATAAAAAGAATTGCGTGTGTATACAAAATTTTGATTTTCATGTAATTGTATAAGTCTGATGAGAAATTACCGAAAACATGTTCGCTTACACAGAGTTTTGATCAATCAATGGGTTATTCGATGCAAAAAGAATTTAAGTTTATGCAAAAAAGAACAGTCGGTGGAATGGAGTAAGCAAGTATCACATTTTTGGTTGGAGTGTGTACTTGACAGTTAGGTGCGAGAGCAAATTCGGAAGTACGAAAAGACGACGGTGAACGAGTAAGCGCCACAAATCCATTCTTTTAACTTAGAATCACAAACAGCCTTAAATTCCTATTTGTCAGTCAAAAACAAGATGGACTAGTTGTATCGAAGGGTGAGGAGAGTCCAGAAGACATTCAACGTTCTGAAACCGAGTATGGCTGTGTTCCGACAAAGGGTCAGTACAAGGGATAGTCAAAGAACTAATAGGGCGAAAGAACCGTCATTCCGGATTAAGGTTTCACGAAAGCGAGTGTTTGTATAATTTCCTCTCCTGACCTGAACCCTGCTAATGGAAGTGTGCCCACCTATAACCAACAAGAGATACACTAAAATCCGTGGACAAAAACACCCGAATGTAATTTCTAAGAATTGTGTGCTGCAAGTAACTCTGAATCCATAAACAGAGCTCAAGCTAAATTACCGACAGAGTAACTCGTCCGAGATAATTGGTGGGGTTTTGTTATCTTATTCCGTCGAACAGTAGATAAAACGATCAAGTTGGTAAGATTATGCGCAAAGAAAACGACTTCTGATGGGGAGCATGATACAATCATCAAACCCCACAACCTAACTCTCAAGATATAGTTCAAAAAAATTAATTAACAACCAGAAAAGTAAAATTATGGCACACTACAAAGGTGGAAACTTACAGTCGACAAACCTCATTCCAGAGAGGATGTTTGGAGGAACCCGTGGCGGTTTGAGTCTCATACCGTGAATCGCCCAAACGAATTCGGCAGTACGAATTCAGTGGAGTAAAACTGTATTTTCTGTTTAGACGAGCCTGTAAAACCAATTGGAGTCAGTTAAGAATGAGAGGGCAAAATATAACATGCCTCAACGATAGCAAGTTCCAGAAACCGATCTTCTCTGCGTGCAGTCCCTTCAGTGAATACACCTCCGTGATAAGGTAAGACGCGCAGAAATTCCCTCGGTAAGGGGCACAAGAGACACTGAACAAAAAGGAATTAGGCTGCAAAACCCACCTGTTTTCGTCTTTCCACAAGAGGGACAACTTGGTTCACTTCCGTTTCTGACACAATAGATTCACTGGCCATTGAGCTGAAAAATGGAGAAATCAGAAGAAACAAGTTACAGTATGTATTGAGTAAAACAAAAAACAAATATGGTGCATGAAAGCGCGCAGAAACCTAGCCAGCAGGTGCCTTCAGGATTAGAACCCACATCACTCGATAAAGTAGCTCAACAATTGAAAGACTGGTGAGTTTCGATTGTTTCAATTCCCATACTGTGAAAAGAAAATCAGAAGGCGTCCTCAACTTGGACAAAAAAACGATACCCTTCCGGAGTGTTGGACTGAGAAGTCATACTGTGAAGATGAAACGCTCACTAGCAGTTTCGAGCTGAAACGCCTTAAAGTATGCAGTGGTTAACAAGCAACGTTCCATCGCATAGCAAATATAATAAAAACAACTAAACAACCGATCACGCTCTGGTCTGCGCGGACAACTGAATGCGCTTTGGTGGTTCATCGAAATCAAAGCACAATACGCCGGATACCAACAATTTAGCTAACTTTCCATTCAACTGGCCTATCAATCCTTCATCTCAGATGTAATCGTTAAAGTTTTAGGTACAGATGCTGAACATCTTGTAGGCGTTGCACTGGAATCGCTGGGTGTCCTTTGAGAAACTGGATCTCAGCACGCTCGTTAGAACTGATTGACTGTCGCCGAGCTATCCCAATGGATTCAAGCTGCGATGAAGTCCGCCACAAAATCAGCCAACAACTCGAGCAAAGCCTACTTAATGATCGTGAAACTTGGTGGTCTCAGCGTGATTCGGAGATGGATGGAAATTTGCGCAAGCTTTCCCAGATCACTCGGACCACTGGGCACAGAAGACCTGGCGTCAATGAAGCTATTTATGAGGCTGATGGATTACCAATCACTAATTTGTGTAGACGCATGAACCGCTGGGCTGAACACTTCCACTCTCAGTTCAGTTGGCCTCCACTTCGTTGTGTGTGCCTAATTGTGTGCCTTAGAATGTTACGCTGGAACCATCTACCGAAGGAGAGGTCTGTCTTCGTCACCTGAAGCGATTCAAAGCTGCTGGCTCATACGAACTTCATCCGCAACTGTTCAAGTACGAGAGCATCATCAACATCATCATTATACACGTTAGAAAGAGAAAAAACAGTTATTGTGCCACAATATAAAAAAGGAAATAACCTGCAGCGCAGGCACGCCAGCGGACGTGCTTTCCTACCGGAAAGCTACCTACCGATATTGCGAAGCAAAAAGTATATTATGCAAAATTTATAATATGCTACGAAATAAGAACGTAGTTAAATAAGGAAAGGGACGAAGAAACTCACAACACAAACAGCCTTGAAGTCGGCTCCTAGCGACCACCATCATCATCAATAGCAGTACATCAGCCACATGAACTGATGCTTCGCTGCCGTACAACCACAAGGACCTACGGAACGAACGAAAAATAAGGGAGAGAAGGGGATCTATGGTAAAATCTTAATGCCCTAAACAAGTACTCGGAGTCAAGGAGCCCACACCTTGTCAACAACAAGCCGTCACAAACAGTTGGCTATCTTGAAAAAATAAGGCGGCAACGGCGAGATAGCTTCGTTGCGGCTTTCACTGCCCCGCGTCATAATCAGTCATTACCCCGCAGGTAACTAATCACCAAACGCACTTTGAACAAACAGTCCGACTAGGAGACAGCAGTAGACACGTCACCGGTGTCCACTGCGAGCCATGTCTTGTAAAGTCTCAAGCCAAGCACAAGGCGGGCTAAGTGGACTCCAGCCTGGAAGGCGAGTTTGGTCATCAGTGACTCCATTTCCCGCTGCCAATTTCATTTTTGTCCATCTCGAGTCTTGCGCCACCCTACATCTGGCAAACAAAACAAGGTCTTCCGCGGTAAACGGTGAGTAAGCATACGTAGTACACGCCCAAGCCAAGGCAACTTATGCAGTGCTATCAGCTGTTCTAAGGAACTAGCTTGGTTATTACCGTGTAGTACTCGCCTATGTACATCATCAATGCGGTTACGCTGGGACCATGCGACACCAGAAATGCTTCGAGGACACCCATGAACAAAGGCTTGAAGGCGCCGCAGGTCCTTAGATAGGAGGGGTCAAATCTCGTTCCCATACAGTAGGACCGCTCTCATTGTGGTCTTGTAAACACGGCCTTTTAGACGAAGAGAAACCACTGTCTGACGCCAAAAATGTCGTATATTCAAAAAGGCGGTTCTAGCATTTGTAATGCTAAGTGGCACTTCGGCGCCCACTGGGTCTAAAACCGGTGTTACTAAAAAACAACTGGTGCTCAGCACATAGCTGTAACAGATACCGCTGCCCGTCCGTTCGGGGTAAAGTATATACCTACCACCTGGCAAAGCTGCTTAAGAGCTTAGACGACCTACTTGCGCATTCATATCGTTTGCATGAAGTATGCTATCTGAACTGGTAGTACTGCGTAGTAACATGTTTAATTCGTGGTAGAAAGCGTCCTTTGAAGCATCAGAGCTGTAGTCAGTGAAGGCATAAGCAGAAACTACAAACCTACAGAATCTAGTGCTATTCCGTGAATCAAGCTTAGTTAATGTCGTCAAACGGGCAGCACATTAACGGCTGCTCACGGGAATACAATCAACCAACGACGACTCATGTTGGACCTGAGAACAATGCCCACTGCAGCTTGACCCGTGTTTGCCGCATCAGCGTCTCCAGTTGCATGCAACCAATAGCGAGAGGACAAGATGGGCAATGTTAATTCAGCAACCTCATTGGGGGTCATTTGTCCTAGTTTCAGACACACAACATACGTCAAGACCCAAGGTGTCCAACGTGCGTGCGAGTGCAACCTGTTGACCTATTTGACTTAGAGTGTGAGTGTTGAACGCCGCCAGGGAAACGAGACAGTGTGGCCTTATAAGGAGCTGTTGGCAATCAGTGTCCAGTGGGTGGTACGGGAAGGTAGCTGCAGATGGTTCGACTCCAGTGGAATTGCGGTCGCTGTCAATTAAACTGGGAATTACAGGAGGTAGGTGAGTAATGCGGGTCGGGATTGGAGTTAGAGAAATAGGTGGAAAAGTAAGAAGGATGGAGTCGGCAATAGCATGTTTCGCACACCTGCCCTACTGTATGCAGCAGATAATTCGACCCATGATAATCTGCGCGACGGCCGCTGCAAGATGTAGTTAGAGTTTGCAGAAATTGTCATGGTTGTGTGTGGGCTGAGATACTGCTAAGGTGCCCCGACCTAGACTGGAGGACGATTTAAGGTCTTCAACCAAAGCGTGTGGCTCAAAAGCCTGCCCGCAAAGCAGCAGGGAAGTCGCAGTGATTTAGTTTTACAGAAATGGACGCCATCCCATTTCAAAAACCAACTTGAAGAACCGGAAGACTGAGTTCGTCTGACCTCTAAGCACTGACTAACCTGGTAGGAGTAGCTCCTTGGATGCCCAAGGGCCCCACCCAGTATGGATCAACAGGTCGAGGAGGTACGCAAACCGTCACACCACGTTAAGGTCCAGTCTCGTCGCCTAGCCATGTAAACAAGTGTATCCAACCAAAGGTGTTCATCTATCGGACCCAAACCATGGAGCCGAGAGCCTCAAAACGAGATCAGCTTCGAAGTAAGAGACTTGATTCCCCACGACGAAGCCATCAGTTGGTCACCACTCCTCTTCTTCCATCCACACCCCTAGCGAACAAACAACCCATTTTGCAGGAGTCGGTGGGATAGCATGCGCAACACGTGACCCAGCCATCGAAACCTGGTGCGTTAAATAACGGTGCTGAGCGGTTCATTTCCTCTTCCTTTGTCATAAATAAGGCGTCGAACACGCTCATTGCTCACACGGTGTTCCCACCAGATATGAGTCAAAATGCGAAGGCATCGGTGATCGAACCTAACTAGCCTCTTATGTCTGCCGATCTAATGGACCAGGTATCATAACCATAGAGTAGGGTAGAACCTACGGCTGCATTGTACACTCTACCCTTCTTCAGGGGTAGAGCGATACAGCGCCGGCGCCGGCGCCATAGGTGACGAAAATTACCAAAAGCGTCTCGAGCTTTTGCTACACGGCTTGTGACCTATTCGATTCTATGGAAGCTGATACAACTGTCCAGATAGTCGAATTTTTGAATGACTTCTATCTGATCCCCACCAAGCGGTAGCGCAGGAGGCGGTGGCTGCCAAGCTTGGAAGAAAAGTAAAACCTTGTGATTAGTTCTCTTTAGCTTTCACCGTCAATAGCGATGTGCGACAGAGATGCCCCATGTCCCCAATTCGCTTAAACTTTTCTATTGTGGATATCTTACTAAATGTGCTGGAAAGTTTCCAGGTTTCTGGCGTATATCTTCTTCCATGCAATTGCGTGACTGACCTGGATAATGCCAATGATATTGCCTTGATCGGTGACGACCCACAGTCTATGTGGGGCATTCTAAACCGCTCTGTGACTGAAGTTACCTTCGCCCCATCGAAATGTCAGATCCTACTCCAGGATTGGCATTCACCTGCCCCCGTGCAGAATTCTGAAAGCGTGCAGCTTGAACAAGTAGATAGCTTTATCAATCTTGGAAGCTGTGTCCATATTGATTGCACCATTGGAAGAGAGATTCTTCTCTGAACTGCTTTCGCTTTCGGGGGAAAAAGACCCATACTAAGCAATCTCACGGGATATGTCGCATGTCTTAGCCTATGTACAGTCTTCGTGCTAAGCATCAAAACTTGCTCCCCTGTTACCTTATCCCACATTAGGCAATAGAGCAGGTTTGGGTGCAGTTGTCTAACTGGGATCTGACAGAAGGCTTGTAAACTTTAACAAACATTTCGGAAGCTTGGATTCCAAATGACCTACGGATCATCCAGTTTACTAAACTCCTTGTAAGCAGAATTCGTCTAGTTTGCGCTTGACTTAGATTAAAGGCAGCGTGACACCCAAGTTGGTCTGCTCGAATACGCGTGGTACTTCGCTGCCCCCATAAAAGTAAGGCGTTAAGGAGCCACCCTTCTCAAGGCGCAAAACCGAGCATTTGGAAATATTGATGGGTAACTGCCCCAA